ATCTATCTATCTATCTATCTATCTATCTATCTATCTATCGATCGTTCTGTCTGTCTGTCTATCATCCATCCATCCATCCATCCATCCATCTATCCACCCATCGTTCTGTCTGTCTATCCATCAATCCATCTAACTATCTGTTCAATCGTTCGTTCTGTCTATCCATCCATCCATCCATCTATCTATCTATCTATCTATCTATCGTTCTATCCATCGTTCTGTCTGTCTATCCATTAATCCATCCATCCATCCATCCATCTATCTATCGTTCTGTCTGTCTGTCTGTCTATCATCCTGCTTCACAATGGAAGTCATTTACATATATAAGTCTTAAAGGTACAGTAGCAAACACAATCTGTATAGCTCTATGGATAAGAAAGACGTTGGGAAATGATCATGAAAAACTAAATTATGACAACAAACCCGATTAACTGATAATATAAAATGGACACGAGAGAAAATGAAGTCCACAAACATGTTAAACAAAAAGAGACAGAGGGAGAGACGAGTGCAGAGTTACTTGGACTGGTCCAGTGCAAGCCTTGTGATCTTCAGGCTGTAGTCTGGACAGATGGAGGTGATGGACAAACGGTCGGACGACTGATACTGAGCCCTGCGAGTGACAGTGAGGGAGGAACAGGAGGATTGTGGGAAGCAGAGGATCGAGGGAACAGAGTGAGTTATGTGGTCTGTATTCTAAAGACACAGATGACGCCAAACCTTAACATTTGTATGCATCTTGTAGTGTACTGTAAAAGTAATGCTGATTTTGTGTATTATACTGATCAATAAAAATCCATAAAGAAAGAAAATCATTTTATCTGCATTTTACCTAATAATGTTTACATTGCACACATACTGGAGGATTACATTTGCTTTTTTATTTTATCTCCTTTAGTTTGCATGTTTGAATTTGCTAATTTGTTTTTAGTAAAATGCAGAAAATCAAATTTGTATTTCCACTGATTAATTCAAAATTCAAAAGTTTGTGATCAGTAAGACTTTGTTTTCCAAGATTCTTAAAAGAATATTACTACAAGACATATTATGAAATATTCTTACAATTTAAAATGACAGTATTCTATTGTATTTTTTTCATTATTTTCTGTCATGTTTTTCAATAGAATTTTCATTTTTGAATGTTCTATTTTCAGCAGCCATTTCTCCAGTTTGAAATAAAAATATAATTATTTGATAATTATAATTACTATTATTAGAAAACATTGTAAATATCTGCTATTTTTTGATCAGTTTAATGCACCTTTGCTGAGTAAAAGTATCAATTTCTTTAAAAAAAAAAAATAGAAATCCCAAACCTTTGAACGGCAATATACATAATCAAAATGAACTTCAGATTAAGGGTATCACAATCATCACAATGATGACTGGCATTCAGACAAGGATGAAGAACTTGTTTTAAATGTGTGATAGTCAAAACATTTAGAAGAAAACAATGATCAGATCAATCATTCTTGCACTTCCTTTGCACTGGAGAAAAAAATCCAAAAAACTGCTAGAGCGGCAGATACTCTAACCTGACCGGTAAAGACGTGAAGGGTTTCTTGTAGATGTCGGAGAGTTTGTCCATGACGACAGCAGCGGTGGTGAAGATGCGGTAGGTGTGGAGGAAGGTGTTGAGGAAGTCGATGGACAGGAAGCGCAGGTCGGTCAGCCGTTCCAGGAGTCTCTCCACGCTGGCGTAACGGATCTGTGGCACCTTGCAGGAGTTCAGCGTCTTACTGAAGCAGATGTCCACATCGTCTTTATGCAGTCGGGCGTCAGACCTGCAGACACGAACGAGCAAATTAACTATTTACAGTGAACTCATCAGGCTTAAGTTGGTGTAAACTAAAATTAAAACTAAAACTATTAAAACTATAAAATATTTACTTTCTTTTGTTAATTGGAATTATGCTGAAATGAAACAAAATATAAATATTAGATAAAAGTCTTAAAGTTAAATGGAATTTAGAAATAATATCTTGGCAGCTAAATGAAAAAAGTTGTATTAAAAAAACAATTATTAAAAACCATTTTAAATACATAGATTTTTATTTAAAAACATAAAATATTTATATTTTATCCAAAAAATATTTGTTTTGATATTTGTAATTTTAAAATAAATAAACAATTGATTTAAAATAAATATGCATTTACTGTATTTAAATAAAAATGTAAAAATTTATTTATTTTAAATAATTAAAACAAAAAATACATTTTATGTATGTATTTGTATTTGCATAATAAAGGAATCTGAATTTAAGTAAAAAATAAAGAAAATTAGAAATGGAATAAAGCTGAAGCACTACAATTACTTAAAATAAAATAAAAAGAAATAAAAAGCTAAACAAGTATAAAAATTTTTTAACACTAATTTAAAAAATCTAAGTATTCATAAAATAACACTGGAGTGCTTGTGTTTTACTTGATCATGTGCGGCACGGTGACTTTGGAGTTGTCCTCAAACACGCTGGTCATCAAGCCATTGCAGCGAATGTTGTCAATGCACTAAATGGCATAAAAATAGAGAAAATAAAAACTTCACTCTCACGTTCTAGCAACTGTAACAGCAGTCAAAATAAACAAACTAGGGGTGCACAACATATTAGTAAACAATCATTATCAGCTAATATTAGCTTTTTAAATTATCAGCATTCATCTGATTAGGCTGATACTGGTAGCATATAATATAAGGGCTTATTTTTCCTACTCAAATTGTTTTTATAAGATGACAGTTCATCTGAAGCGCATAAAATTATAGATAAATGAATAAACAAAAAGACCAAAATAGTTACCAGTACTAACCCAAAATTTGCATACCAGTTCATCCCTAGGGCAAAGTGTATAATAGACCGTTCATACTAAAAATATTATGCAAAAACCTTACCGTAAAGTCAGAGAAACTATTTATGTCAATGCAAATATAATGGAAACTTCCCACTCTTGTGCATTTCATGCATGTTGCTTTCTAGCTAGAAAACATGAACTTCTGTTCTTGGGCTTTGATTGAATCTCTACATTTCTGAGCTTGAATAAAGTGTTTAATTCTTGTGCATGCATTTTTGTTTCATATGAGTTGTGATATTCTGTTCTACAGATCCAAAAGGTGTGAATAAGCGTGTTGCATGTATTGTGCAGATTGTACCTGGCTCATGTCGCTGGTCCAGGCTGCTTTCTCCTGCCGAGACGGAGCGAGCAGAACGACTGCAAACGACGGACCATCAGCAGGTTCAACCACTATTTTAAACTCCAGACGATTGAATCCCTGACCAGCAGCATTATCTGAGGAGATTGGAAATCAAAACTCACTCGGTTTACTTCATTGATAGTTAGCTTTGTGTTGGTATTACTGGGTTTGACGTCACACTTACAGTCTTCATCATTGGCGTCCAGCTCCTCGATAAGCGCACACTCTATCAGAGACAACATGCCTCCCTGCTGTGGTTTAGAAGAAAGGTACTTTTATTATAGTTATTTTATGCTTTTGCATGAAACAGTTCACCCAGATGTCTGAACTGCTCTTTTCTTTTCAACAAAGGTGAACAGTGACCAATACTGTAAATAAAACAAAGTGGGGTAGGAACAACATGACGCTGATTAATTGATGAGAATATTTTAGGGTGAACAATTCCTTTAAGAAATGTAGGTCCCACTTTATATTAGGTGGCCTTAACTACTATGTACTTGCATCAAAAAATAAGTTCAGTGTACTTATTGTGTTCATATTGTATTGCAAAACACTTTTGCTGCTATTGAGGTGGGATATGGGTTAGGTTAGGGACAGGTTTGTTGGTATGGGTAGGTTTAAGGGTGGGTTAAGGTGTAAGGGATGGGTCAACTGTGTAATTATAAATGTAATTACAGATGTAATGACATGCAGGTATTTTTAAAATATAAGTACAATGTAAAAACATGTATGTACACAATAAGTGCAATGTACCAAATGATTCATTTAAATGTAAGTACAGTAGTTAAGACCACTTAATATAAAGTGGGACCGAAATTTAAATAAATTTAATTCCTTTAATTTCTGAGGTGTTGTTATTCTCAGGGTGACTCGACTCACTTTGAGAAGGTGCGTATTTTTATTTTTGATTAATTTACAATAAAGAAATACTATTAATTTAAAATAATACATAGTTATTAAAAATAATTTCTTCATTTTAAAATAATTAAAATACTTATTTTGATCATATACATTAACATTCTAAACACATATATATATATATATATGCACATTTAAATGAAGAATATAATAATTCAGAAAATAATAATTTAAAATAAATCATGCATATTTAATACACTTATTATTATAAAGTAAATTGTAAACAAATATACTGAATATTTTTTATAATTTTAAATAAAGAAATACTACTAATTTTAAATAAATAATACAGATCTATTTTAAACAATAAAAAACTATATCATTTTAAATAAAGAAATAATATTTATATTAAAAAAAAATAGATATTTATTTTCAATTTTACATTACATTTTATTTTTGAATAAATAAAATTGTTTAAATAATAGTTCAATATTTTAAATAAATGTTATAGATAAAATTATGTGACCCTGGACCACAAAACCAGTCTTAAGTGTCAATTTTTCAAAATTGAGATTTATACATCGTCTGAAAGCTGGAAGTATCGCTTTGATTCTTTGTGTTGCTGAGCTGTTATTATCTTCAGATGGACTCGACTCACTTTGAGCAGGTGCAGTTTGCCGCCGGAGGTGCGTGTGCAGATGAGGAAGTGTTTGGTGAACAGGAAACACTGGCGTTCGGCTTCTTTCCTGAGCGACAGCGAGCCCAGACGCACCTTACTCAGTTTACCCTTCTCCACGGAGGGCAGCTGAATCAGAGAGCCTACAGCAAACACACACATCAGCTCATTACCCAGAGGAAGGAGAACATTAAAGACAGCGTTTCAGGGAGAGAGCGCAGCGCTGTCTCATCCAGAGACGCTTTTCTATGAGACAAGATGCATTAAAATGGCACATTAGATCTCATTAGAGCACATTTCACACCTTGCTGTCAGTGTGGAGCAGAAACCATCACACACTCATATTCATACTAAACTACTGACTGACTTTTGTTTGAAATAAAGAAACAATAATAATATACAACAAACAAATAATACATACGTATTTTAAATTAATAAATTTTTATTTTAACACAAATAAAATATTATTTTTGTTTGTAAATATGATTTTGTATTTAAATAAAGAAATAATATTAATTTTAAAACAATTAAAACTTTTATTTTTATCATATATATATATATAAATAATAAATATTTATATTAAATAGTTTTATTTTTAAAATAAAATATTTTTGTATGCAATAAATATTACAAACAAACATTAATTTAAAAAATGATTATAAATAAAGAAATAATGTTAATTAAAATAAATATCTTATTTTTAAACCAACATTTTTTGTTTAAATAAAATATTAGTTTCATTTTGCATAATACATTTATATAATGCATTATATCATTTTTATCATTTTAAATGTAAAATAATCTGGATTTATAAAAAAAAATATTTATTGTAAAGAAATAAATTCGAATTTAATTTTTTTTTATAAACTTACATGCTTAACGTTTAAAAATTGAACTAATGCATATTTTTAGGTGAACATCTGACCCATAAAAATGATTTTTCTTGCCGTAACATGATAAATAGGTCAGAAATCAGTAATATTTAATCATTTAAATCAATCAAACCATCAAATAAATAAAACAAACAAACAAAAATAGTTAATGGGGATCAGCTGGTATAAAATGACACTAGTAGAAAAGCAGAACAAACAGGAAGGAATCACTTCATGAAGCATTGGGGTAGAAAATCATTTGAAGAAGAAGTGTCCTGCAATCAAACACCCCGCCGCTCCATAATGAACGGTGTCTCACCCTGCCGTACAAACGTCTGACTGGTGTCCAGCAGAATATCACAGCCCTCCACAATCATTCGCTCGATCGCCAGATTCTTACGGATGTTTTCTGTGTCACTCACTTCATCGTGCATCATTCTGAGAATAAACGCACAAACACAGCTGTATCATCTCAGTGTATACAATAAATAGATCTTAAGGTGTTTGGCAGAAATGTGAATTGGACTACACTGAACCATGACATATTCTAGGCTTGAGAGAAAGTGTGATCAATGCCCTGGTCACATGAATGTTAATAATAAAATTCAAAAGCCTTGTTTGCATTTAAAAGCATCACTTTTTTCCATAGAGGAAGCACTTACACTAATGGGCTGCTTGATATGAGAGTTTCATCTTAGAATAACCATATGTTTAGTGGATACAATCTGATATAATTTCACAGAAGTGTTTGGCATCTTACTGCTTTCAGGATGATTTTAAAAGTTGGTGAAGAATTAAGAGAGAAAACAGCAATTTAAAATAAATAATTAGTACATATGCATTTTAAATAAATATATTTTTTATTTTAAAGCAAATAAAAGATTAATGTTTTTATAGTAAATATATATTTTTAAAGAATAAATTATATATATATATATATATATATAAAAAGAAAGAAATTGTTACTAATATATATATATATATATACATTATATTTTTGTAATATGAATAAATTAATAATACAAATGTATTTTAAAATATTATTTTTATTTTTATAATACATTTCTATTTTTGTTTTTTTATCATTTTGATTGAAACTGATGTAAACAGAAAACATAAATATAAAATTATAACTCTTGCCTCTTAAAAATAAAGGTTCCAATTAGAACAAAATTATTTTACAGTCTGAATCAATAAAAGAACGGCATGAACAACTTTTAATTCTCTAGTTCTTTGTTATACTTTCTATGTTCTGGTGCTTTATAGCCAAAATACTGGTCTGAAGAACCTATAAAACCTTATAGCATCTCAAGAGCCCGAAACACCCCAAAAATGCTTCTTAACATGAAGAATCCTTATTTCTAAGTCTTTTTTTTAGCTTTCACTCACTTGGACAGTTCCTCAAGTTTGGATTTGGCAAACTCCAGACTCTTGCGCTCCACATGTTCATGAGGCGTGTGGGCGAGGAGCTCATGAAGGGTGATGATGTACCGCGGGATCTAATAGTAACAATTCAAATACACAAGTACTCCGTTTTACACAATGGAGCACAGTTAAATGAGATGCAATATGCTAGTGTTACTATTACTCAAAGGTCAGAGGTCAGCGGTTCACCTGAAACATGGGGTAGGTGAGGAAGGTTTCCAGCATTCGGTCCTCACAGGCGGCGTTGGCTTCATACTGCTTCAGAAGCTTGTCAAAGTCCCGGTTCTGTTTACAGTTGGCCAGAACCTGCAAACTGTACTGATGGTTTCGCACAAACTCCTGATAAATGTTCAGCATCGGCAGCAAGATGTCGAAGAGATCCGCTGAAACGTCACAGTACGGTTTTGCATCATGTTTATGTGAACATTGTTAGACATAATGATGATATGTAAGTGGTCATTTCTATTCTGACTTGTGTAGATTATTAGATGTTATTATGATGTTAATTTTTACTCTATGTGTGGAGAGTAAAAAAAGCATTTCACTGCATGTCTGGCATGTATGTTTGTGTGCAAAAATAAAAAAATTAAATAAAACTCACCTAACAATAAAGTTGGCCAGTTGGCTATCCGAGCCTTCAAGCCTTGATGGAATATCTCATGGAGAAACATTATCGTCTCACTTACAAATAAAGAAAAAATGAGAAATGCATGGCACATCAATTTCTGATATTTAAAGACAGATATTATACTTTCAAAAAGAGTTGCATATAGTTGCATATTGTAAAAAAAGATGATAGTTGCATATTTTAAAACGTTTATTGGTGGTGTCAGAATAAAAGTAATTTTTTTCTTGATCAACAGCTTGACAAAATTTGAAAAAAGAATCTGAAATACTGTATAAAGCTTGTTTCTATCAAGGAATAAAAAACTAAAAGTGATTCATAACTAAAGTAATTGTGACTTCTCACAATTCTGACTTTTATCTTGCAATTGTGAGTTCATATCTGGCAATTCAGTTTTTTTTCCACACGGTTTTCAAATTGTAAGAAAAAAACTTTGCCATTACTGTTTTCATTATTTATTCTGATGGAAAAAAACGAATTACAGAGAAAATATTTCAAGATGTAAACTCGCAATTCTGAGACGAAAAGTCAGAATTGTGAGAAAAAAGTTCCAGGTACTTTTTTTTATTTTTTATTCAGTGGTGGAAACTATTTTGAGATATAAACAAAGTCAGAATTGCGAGAAAAAAATTCTCAATTACTATTTTTATTTTTTGTATTCCCTGGTGGAAACGAAAAAATTAAAACTGAATTGACAGATAAACTTACAATTCCAAGACAAAAATCAGAATTGAATTTGCAAGATATAAACTTATAATTATAAAATTATAAAAAACTCAGAACTGCAATATAAAATCTCGCAATTGCAAGAAAAAGTTACAATTACCTTTTAATTTTTTTATTTTGTGGTAGAAACAAAAAAATCACAATAGCAAGACATCAATTCAGAAAAACAAGTCAGAATTGTGAGACACAAACTGTGATATATAAACTCGCAGTTGCTGAGATAAAAAGTCGCAGTTACACAGTAGCTTCCAGAGTATTCCTCCAAGTATTCAATTCATTTCAAGTTGACCACGTGATTTATACCTATTGAGGAAGATGCTGCTGACATCGTCATGACTAATGGGGGGTTTTTTGGAGCTGGCCGCCATCCTGAGCGGCCGCAGGAAGCAGTTGACCAGGATGGAGAGCTGGAGCACGTACTCCGTCTCGGCCTCCACCATGTTAAAGACGATCTGGTTTCTCTTTCTCATGCTCTCGGCGTGAGGTGAGCAGATGTAGTCCTGCACGATGATCTTCCACTTCCTTCTGCACAGCCAACCACGCATGAAGCTTTGCACCTGCGAGAAAACATGCCACGGAGACGCCCGAATGACTGCACTTACACTAGACACAATAGCAAACATTACTGTGTAAATGTATAATTGTGAACAAATATACAATTCAAATGTAGACAATCATGTACCTTCTTGATTTTCTTGATATCTGGAACTTCTTCCTCTTGATTGGACTGATAGGGCAACATTCGCTCTTGTGTTTTATTCAGAACGACAATCTAGAACACAGATAATATGGGTTGCCAGGTTTTCTTGTACAATTGGGCTCTTGAAAAATATTGAAAATGCTTTTGCTGGAAATTTATATTTTTTAGGGACTACTTTTATAATGCACTGAGGCCACCAAAAAGGTTGATTTGTAGACAAAAAATATGAAGATCCTTTTACTAATGCGTATTGATCCTTTCCTGTTAATACCTGGCAAACTAAGGACCACTGAAAGAGCAAGTAAGAGCGGGACGGTGTGGACATATGTTTGCTGTCATGTCACAAACTAAAGGTTGCATGAGTGTACAGTATATATATATTCAGTAACTTAAGAGGTATAGAATACAGTAAACAATAAATATGCAAATACTACATATAAACTAGTCTAGCTAAAATTCATTCAAAAAGAAATGTAAAAAAAACCCTTAAAGGAACACTCCACTATTTTTGAAAATAGGCTCATTTTCCAACTCCCCTATCATTTTGACTTTGATTTTATTTTTCCCAAGAATGTTAGTTAATATCATCACCAGAGCTGGGTAGATTACTTACAAATCGTAGTCAGTTACTGATTACAGATTACCTGATAAAAACATTCCATTTTTTAAAATTAAACATATTAAGCCAGGGTTTGCCAAACTGGGCTGGATGTAAGAACTGCAGTGGGTTTCTGAGTTAATAAAAAGCTAATAATGAATTCAATCTTAAAAATGTACAATAAAAATAATTTAAATCCTTGAACGTGCATATCAATTTGACCATCAACTGACGTCAGAGAACTGTAAACGTGTGAATGTGTTGTTCAATTATTTCAAATATGAACTTCCTCAGAGATATTCCAAGTATTTATTTAAGAGGTTCAGCTGACAAAAACATTTGGGAATCCCTGCATTATATGAACAAATATTAATAAACATGAAAACAACAATGACATTACAAGCCCAAAGTCTTTTGTCCAGATTTCCATTATGAATAATTTACTGCTATTGTGTGAATAATAAATATGTCATCATGTAATCCATAAAAAGTAACGGTAATCAGATTATGAGCATTTTAAAATGTAATATACTCTAATTACAAGTACTTAATTTTTTGGAATCTGATTACATCATCCAGATTACATTTATTTATTTATTTTTTTGAGATACCACCTTGTTATACTTGTTCTGTTCCTGGTCAAAAATGACCAGCCTATAAATAATTAATACAAACAATGGCTTATAAATTATTAAATTACTACCAAACATTGTATTCAATCTTTTGGTCAATTTATTTATGTTCAATTAGCGCAGGTTTTTTATTTATTTTTGGAACTACTTGATGGTAGGCCTTCGTTGATGCAGCTCAGTTTTTGCCAAAATATTGCCAAAATTACCCACAAATAATGCTTTTTTTCACTGAAAAGCTGAGGTGCATTAGCTCAGATCAATGAGGCCTATGACCAATCTGTTTCAAAAAGAAATACAAAACCTGTGCTAATTGAAAGAAAACAAATTGACAAAGAGATTGAATCCAAGATTTACGCATAATGAGAGAGTTTTTAAAAGGTCAGTTTTTTTGTTTTTTTTGAGCAGGAACGCTAAATTAGGTAAAGGATTTTCACTACAGACTTAATTTTCTTATGTATATTCACTTAATTATGGATAGAAATATGACCTGGACATGTTCTTGACAGGTTCACCCTCAAATAAATGATGGAGCGAAAGAGCCAGCAAACTGTGAGAGTGTTTTATAGGACGTAGGCTTAAGGGCTCGTTTGTGTTCTCATGATGCACGGCTGGTGTGTGTGTGTGTGTGTGTGGTTATGTAACCGGCAGAGCTTCTCCTCTGTCTTTAATGCACTGTCCTGAGCCTCAGGCCTTGTTTAAACCAAGAGATAACAATAGACACGGCCAGCCCACAAATACATCGGATTCTGTTTCACTTTCATCGACCCACAGAACTATCATCTCCCACTGAATGCCATTAAAATCTGCTTTATGCATCCGATTACAATAACAAAGCTCATTGACGGGTCAGAACTCATATTCATATCAGACTCATTTGCATCATTTTTGCTAGCAGCTCTAGATGCGTGTTTTCTTGAGTCACGCACATAAACACACACAGATTGTCCTTCCGAAGTCATGCACTGTAGACTTTCATTCAGATAATCTGAGAGAAACGCACTGCCAGAAGAGCTACTATTCTTAGACGGGAACCCAGAACTGTGTTGCTCATGTGTGAGGCTCGTTTACGCTCAGCAGAGCTCACGAAACCGCAAGAATCCCGAGAGGGCCTACATCTCTAAGAATCCAGAAAATATGACCAAATCAACATGCAATGGCATTTAGAATGCATTTCAACATTTTAAAATTTAAAACTTAAATATTTAAAATTCATATTTCTTAAAGGGCGGGAAAGAACTTTTTCCATTAATAGTTATACAGTGTAACAGCTTGGTTCCAGAACTTTTTTTTTATATATATATAAATATAAAGAAAATAAGAATTTTCTTTTATTTTCAATGCAGTTAACAATCAAATCAGTACATTATATTACTGTCGCAAATGTTAAATATACAAAATAAAACTAGACTGCCAGTGATTCATAATTAATATTGAAATAACTTAAAATCTATAACTTAAAATATATAAAACATTCAGATATTCTCTCATGCTCCAAAGTTCTACAAGTTATTTTTTTTAACAAATTAATACTTTTATTTAGCAATGATGCATAAAATTGATGAAAGGTGAATAAGAAATATAAGAATTTCTTTAAATGCTTAAACGCCGTTGTTTTGAAACTTGTATTTAAAGAATGTTGGAAAAAATCTTTTATAGTTTGCAAAAAAAAAGTGAAAAAATAAAAAGTTTCTTGAGCAGCAAATCTGAATATTAGCATGATTTCTGAAGGATCATGTGACACTGAAGACTGGAGGAATGATGCTGAAAATTCAGCTTTGATCACAGCAATAAATTATATTTTAAAATATATTCACTTAGTTATTTTGAATAGTAATAATATTTCACAATATTAGTGTTTTTACTGTTTCAAATAAACACAGCCTTGGTGAGCAGAAGAGACTTCTTTCAAAACTTAAAACAAATTTAAAAATAAATAAATCTCACCAACCCAAACTTTTGAACAGTACAATTATACATATACTGCAAGCAAACTGACTTTATCCCATCATTTGCCATGTTTAAAGATAGTAAGTGATCTAAAAAAAAATAAACAGGGTACGCTTTAATTTTAATGTGGACTTTAAAGGGAACAGAACTCAAAGTCAGCTGACGCAGAAGGAAGCTGGTGATGTATAAGTGCTGCAAGCATAATAATACAGTGGCACTTCAACATGACATCAAACCTGATTTCCATGGTAACACAAGTCATTGGCACGCTGGTGGTTGTCAAGCATATTTCATTTGCATCTGAATCTTTATCATGTACGTTCAAAGAGGGAGATGAATCTACTGCTGCATGGCCGAAACTGGAGCGAGAGGAAATATCGGCCAATCGGATAATGCAGTTATGAGCACTTTGCATCACAATAGCTCAAACTGGATTAGCTTATATCAAAAACGGCCAAACTATCACATTAAAAACGTTACCATAATTAATTGTAATTTTATTCTAAAATAAAAGCAGGCATTTCACGCAGAAGACCTTTTTTCCATCAATAAGCGACTGTTTTATAAATACACAGGCTAGTTTGCACATCACAAAAGCTTGTTTAATTTGGCCCAGAAATCAAAGCGCATTCAGCATTTGTTTTTAAATGCTGTTGAAGTACTTTGAAGCTCTCGGATGCTTCGCGCTGTTTGATGCGTCCGCAACGAGCACCAGCAAATGCAAACAGGCTCAACTTCAACATACAAGAAAAGAAAAAAGTGACGTGACATGTGGCCAAGTATGGTGACCCATACTTGGAATTAGTGCTCTGCATTTATCCCATCCTAAGTGCACACACACAGCAGTGAACACACACACACCGTGAACACACACCCGGAGCAGTGGGCAGCCATTTATGCTGCGGCGCCCGGGGAGCAGTTGGGGGTTCGGTGCCTTGCTCAAGGGCACCTCAGTCGTGGTATTGAAGGTGGGAGAGAGCGCTGTACATTCACTCCCCCCACCTACAATCCCTGCCGGTACGAGACTCGAACCCACAACCTTTGGGTTACGAGTCCGACTCTCTAACCTTTAGGCCACGACTTCCCCCAATTTATCCCAACAACAACATTTTTATCATTTTGGCTGACTCTTTAAAGAAGATTCCTGGCAATGTACAATAAAAAGTACTGAAAAATAATTATATTAATGGATATTAAAAAAAAATAAATACACTATTGGTCAAACGTTTGGAATAATTGCTTTAATCTTTTTGAAATAAATTCCTTCTGCTCACCAAAGCTGCATTTATTTGATTAAAAATACAGTAAAAACAGTAATATTGTGGAATAGTATTACCATTTAAAATAATTGTTTGAAAATATATTCAAATATTAAAATGTAATTTAAAAGAACAGTACTTCTTTGTAATAGAAATCTCTTGTAATAGTATTCAATCTTTACTGTAACTTATGACTAATTTAATGCATCCCTACTTTTTTTTTTACTTTTATCTTACTTTTTCCAAATGTTGAATGGTAGTGTATATCACAGTTTCCACAAAAATATGAAGCAGCACAACTGTTTTCAACATTGATAATAATCAGAAATCAGCATATTATAATGATTTCTGAAGGATCATGTGACACTGAAGACTGGAGTAATCATGCTGAAAATTCACAGGAATAAATTACATTTTACAATATATTCGCTTAGAAAACAGTTATTTTAAAATGTAATAATATTTCACAATTTCTACTATATTTTTTATCAAATAAATACAAATCACTTCTTTCAAAAACATTTAAAAAATGCAACAATTCCAAGCTTTTGACTGGTAGTGTAGATCAATGAATAACATTCAAAGTAAAAAAACAAAAAACAAAAAAACATATGTAATTATGAAAGAAAAAAAAAAAGCCGTGTGAAGAACGTGTTTCAGATTGACAGCACACTGCTGGCCAGAGCTGACAACTCAATCTCAGAGAAGAGTGAGTGTGTGTGTGTGTGTGTGTGTGTGTAGGGGACAGTAACATCTGCTATAACATAACAGAAGAGATTGTGAGTGGGTTTACTTAGCTAAATCTGACAAATCTCCTTAGGGGAATGCCTTCAATAGGATAGAATTATACATTAATACAGTTTTTCATTTTAAAAATGCAAAAAAAGTTTTATTCTATGGTTAGGTGATAGTTATTCTAATTTATACTTTACCCTAAAAAAATAGATAAAAACTAATCACAAATTTATCATTACATTTCTCATTAGTGGGTAGAGACATTTTACTTTTGAGTTTATTTGTAATTGTCATTATTCACAATGGAAAAAGTACACTGTAAACGTGTTTATTTAAACGTTATTTAAACTTTTTATTATTAAAATTAACACAAATTAAAGGAAGTACAACAAACACTATCATGATATATAAATAAATGCTTTTTATTATTTTTAATTTAAATAAATAAAATTTCACCCCTAAATTTTATTGTATAAATTCAGGTAATTTGAGGGTTATTTAAAAAGAAAAATAAGCGCATCAACAAAATAACTGCATGCTCACTTTATTAATAATAAGTTTATTTTTAAGTGAGTGTGCAGTTATGTGTTTTTTGTTACAAGTCTTTTTCCGGTAACACTTTACTTAATGCCTTTATGTGTAATGCATTATAAAGGGTTATTAAAGGGTGTAATGCATTAGAGTTATTCATAATCTGTGTTGTAATACATTATATCTTGTCGTAAATAATTATACCCGAATTTAAAATGCACAGTGCAACAATGAATTGATAAGTGTTATAATGTATTAACTGTGGTTACAATAATTCATGAGACTGTACAATGCATTATAAGGTGCATTACAAGGCATAATTGATGCATTAAAACTACTTTTATAATGCATTACAATAAAGGCTTTAAACTAACACAAGCATTAAGAAACTTCTGTTAAATAGCCAAGCAAATTTTGAGGCTGATGCCCCAATTTCAAAATCAAAACAGCCCAAAATATCAGTCAATTAATCATTTTGCTTGATAAACTGGTTTGTGACTAATAAAGATTCCACCCACCAGTTTCTAACCTACTAATTAATTCAGAGCTGAGCATAACTACAAAAAATGCACATTCACAATAGAAATTTTCATGTTTGCACACTGACAATAGGCTAATTGTTCAAAATTCTATTTCAGAACTCATTTGTATTCATTTTGTTGATGAAGACCTAAAACTTGCATTTGTAAAATAAACTTTGAAGCCATATATCAGTGTACAGACATTTACTCACTTATATCCACTCATTTAAAAGCGGTCGTGTTTGACTGCAATATATGGGCTGTTATCGTTGGTTTTAACATCTTAACACCAACACATAAGAAACACAGGGGCTAGTTGTCACATGAGGAAGTTGTCATAAGGCTATTTCTTAGGAATTAGAGGAACGAGAGCAATGGTTTAGTATGTTGGTTTCACAAATCTAGTTTAGTTATATTTGTAAATTAGGACACGTTTAATGAGCTCTCGTTGAAACTGGGGTCATAATATTTCACTAAAATTAAAACCATTCAACAATGTTACTTGGAATACATTAAAAGGTAACTTAAAATAAAATATAAAAAGCATAAAGTTATTTTATTTCCGCAAGTTGCCAAAGCAAAGTAAAAACATTGCACTAAATGTACTAGAAAAACTAAAACTGAAATAAAAATTTAATTTTTTTTTTTTAAAACGACAAACATAAAATGCTAAAACTTTGAAACTATATATTTTTATATATATATAAATTATATATTATATATACATATATATATATATATATATATATATATATATATATCAAATTTTCTAT